TGCTTACTCTCTTGGCCATATATTATGAATATCCTTTCCTGTCAATATATATAGATCTACAGCATAACTTTTTAAAAATTGTAGTAAAAGATACATAAAATTTACCATTGTAACAATTCAGTGTACAGTTCAGTGGAATTAAGTATATTCACATTGTTGTGCAACCATCACCCCCATCCATCTCCAGGACTTTACCATCTTCTCACACTGAAACTGTGCACCCGTTAGACAGCATTTTTCATGGCTATGTGTAATATAATTTCTTTCAGAAAACCCTATTGTTATACATTCAGGTTTTTTTCTCTAGTATAAATATCTTTTACCAGCAATGCTTCAGCAAGATCTCTTGTGTATACATCTTGCAGATGTATTATTTCTTTTTCTTTTTCTTGTTTTTCTTGAGACTGAGTCGTCGCCCAGGCTGGAATGCAGTGGCGCTATCTCGGCTCACTGCAAGCTCCGCCTCCCGGGTTCACACCATTCTCACGCCCGCCACCACGCCCGGCTACTTTTTTGTATTTTTAGTAGAGACGGGGTTTCACCGTGTTAGCCAGGATGGTCTCGATCTCCTGACCTCGTGATGTGCCCATCTCGGCCTCCCAAAGTACTGGGATTACAGGCGTGAGCCACGGTCCCCTGCCGCAGACATATTATTTCTGAAGGATAAATTCCTAGAAATGGATTTGCTAGGTCCCGTAGGAGGAATTCCAATTTACACTCACTTGTATGTGTGAGGAAACTTTCAGACTCTATTGTAACGACAAGAGGTGTTACCATTCTTTTGCTATTTGTCCATGTGACAGGCAAACGTTTCTGGTAGGTTTTTTTTTTTTTTTTTTTTTTTTTTTTTTTTTTTTTTTTTTTTTGAGAGACTGAGTCTGGCTCTGTCGCCCAGGCTGGAGTGCAGTGGCCGGATCTCAGCTCACTGCAAGCTCCGCCTCCCGGGTTTACGCCATTCTCCTGCCTCAGCCTCCCGAGTAGCTGGGACTACAGGCGCCGCCACCTCGCCTGGCTAGTTTTTTGTATTTTTTAGTAGAGACGGGGTTTCACCATGTTCACCAGGATGGTCTCGATCTCCTGACCTCGTGATCCACCCGTCTCGGCCTCCCAAAGTGCTGGGATTACAGGCTTGAGCCACCGCGCCCGGCCTCTGGTAGTTATTTTAATACTGTTTGGATCGCTAGTACAGACTCAGTTTTTTTTTTAACCCACACCATGTTAGTTTCTTAATTCTGGACTTTCTCAGTGTGTCAGTGTAGAAGCAGCTAACGCTTCCAGTGTACACAACCCAGACTTTTCATGACCCCAGCCTGACTTCGACGCTGCAAGCCTCCCTCTAGGTTCCCCGGGGCGAGTGCCCGAGTGCGTGTTGGGCTCCCGGCGGGGCTCCCGGCCGGCCCCGACGGACTTCCCCGCCTTTGCCCAGTCGTGCCCCTCCGCGGAGGCTTGCCAAGGTCTTGTCTGCTGCACTTGATGTGTGCAGCTCAGCTTTACTGTGTCTGGGCTAAGCCCCACAGTTTCTTTTACAGAGTGATTGTCCAACTTCAGGCATCTGGGTCCGCGAGTGGTGGGTATGGGCCGGAGTGGGGAATCAGCCTTTCCAGCAAGGTCCCTGCAGATGCTGCGGATCTGAGAAATACGCTTTGGAAGGCCTGGCAGTGCGTCTAGATCTGACAGCTGCTCTGCATGGGCCTGGCTCCAGGCTGAAGCAATAGTGGGTCAATGCAAAATCGTTCTCTCAAGTTCGGGAAGCAGAAGCCAGAGAGGGAGACTGGGTAGGTGCGCGCTGGTACCGCCGAAGCGTTAGCTCTGGCTTCAGTGCGCGGCCTGAGGAGGACGCCAGGGGGCAGCAGCGTCACGCCCGCCCGCCCAGGACGTGCTTCTGAACGCGCAAGCGCAGTAGGCCCAGTGCGTGCTGTCCTGGGGGTGTAGCAGGGGGCGCAGAAGCTTGGGCTGCAGGTAGGTCCTGGGGCGAGGGGCGAGGGGCGAGAGGGCGAAGCGGTGAGGGGGCGTGTAGCTGGGTTTCTCGAGGGGCCTGTACGTGGCCCGGCCCGCAGCGCCGGCCGCCTGTGCGGAGGCTCCCTGGGAGGCTGCGCTTGGCCTGGGCGGCCGGGTCCACCGCGCCCAGCCCCCGCCTCCGCGTCCAGCCCTGCGCGGTAGCGGGAAGTTAAAGGACCCGAGAAGGGCCAGGCGAGGTGGCTCCAGTCTGTAACCCCAGCGCTTTGGGAGGCGGAGGCGGGAGGATCGCGTGAGCTCAGGCGAGAGCAGCCTGAGCAACATGGCGGAACTCTTGTCTCTGTAAAAAAAAATTTAGCCGGGCGCGGTGGCGCCGCCTGTAGTCTCAACTACTCCGGAGGCTGAGGCGGGAGAATCGCTTGAACCCGGCGGGGGCGGAGGTTTCAGTGAGCCGAAATCGCGCTACTGCACTCCAGCCTGGGGGACACAGTGAGAGACTGTTTCTATTATTATTACTTTATTATCATTATTATTATTATTTGAGACGGAGTCTCGCTGTGTCGCCCAGAATGGAGTGCGGTGGCGCGGTCTTGGCTCCTGGGATCACAAGGCGTCCGCCACCACGCCCAACTAATTTTTGTATTTTTAGTATAGACGGAGTATCACCATGTTGGTCAGGCTGGTCTCGAACGCCTGACCTCAGGTGATCCGCCCACCTCGGCCTCCCAAAGTGCTTGGATTACAGGCGTGAGCTACTGGGTCCGGCAGAGGCTGTCTTTGTTTAAAAAAAACAAAAACCAAACCAAACCGAAACAAAAAACGAAAAACAAAAAAACCAGAAAGGACCTAGGACTCTGTCTCGGCTCTTTGCCTTTGGGTGTTTATTCTGCACGAGATCATTGTTGCCAGGAGGTGTTAAGTGTAATCATATTCTTCCCTTTTTTTAGAAAGCAAAATTTCACTCTTTTGTTGCATAATCTTGTCTTTGTCACCCTTTGCCTTTACTGTAGGACCCTAAGGCTAAATAAGCATTAAGAATATTTAAAATAATCCTTCTAATGTACCTTGTGCTTTATTGGCACAATGGAATTCTACTGTAAATTGCATTGGATGACACTACTCTGTGTCTTCCCTAGTTGTAGAAAATACCTTGTAAGTCGGTAAAAACTAGTTTTGTCCCTTTTCTTTTTTCTTTAAGCCAAGCTTTTCTCTATCAATAAGCCTGCCTATCAGTGTCAGAAATGCTTTGTATATCAATCGTGCCTGAATTTCTCCTGCCCAACCTGCCCCACCATCTTTATTCCTTAATGTGCAGGCTGTTTTCAGGACCAGTAAATTTCAGCGGTTTTTGCTTATTTCTGGACACGAAAGTTCCTTCAGCCACACAGCCTCATGCTATGCTCTGGGCGGCCTACTCCAGAATATGCTCTGAAACAAAAAAGCAAATCGGGGCTGAGGTGGGCTGAAGTCTTCTTTAAGAAACAGGCAGTCCCAGGGTCCCCTAGACCAGTCCCTAGGTGACCACACTGGGTTTGATTTAGTTCAACTCCTGAGCATTGTGGTATTTAGGGGAAAAATGGGCTTGAGTCCAGAAAACTTGGCTCCTCTGTGTATAGTGACCTTAGACATATTACTTCACCTCTGACTCAGTTGTCTTATCTGTGAAATGGAAATAACAACAATTATATCCACTTCACAGAATTGGTGTGAAGTTGACACTGTATAAAAGTCAAATGAATTTTTGAGTTTTTTTTTTATTTTGTTTTGGTGTTTTTTCTTTTTGCTGAGAGAGGATTCAGAAGTGAATGTGAGGACTTAGGGATACATAAAAGGTTAATGGGGCATATAAAATTTGTATTCAGCAAGAAATGCATTAAAGGTTTTCTTAGTAATGCGGAGGGTCCAACACAGATTAGAAAATATGCATTTGTAGAGTCCCACAGAGTTTTGTAGCTGATGTTGGCAGCCTTTGAGTGGAAATGAAAAAGTGGACAGGGCAAGTTACATGGGGCTGGTGAATGATAAGCAGATCTGGGTTTATGATGAAGCTTCTAGTCTCTTCACTTGCTCAAATACCTTCCAAAACTCTGGCAAGGGGCTCAGCACTTTTACATTCATAACTGTGTATTCTTAAAGAATTACCACTCGTCGTCCCAACTTATATAAGCTTCAGGCCCCATAAAATCTGAATCCACCCCTAGTGGCAAGGAAGGATTGGTGGGAGGTTAGGGGTAAGGAGGGTTGGAGGGTTGAAAGGATTTACCACAGGGTTTGAGCTGGGAAACTTGGATTGAAGAAGGAGGTGGCAGATGAGGGGCCTCAGAGAATGGGAGCTGTGAGGAGAGGAAGAGCGGATGCGGTGGGGTGAACACAGGAGAGGGAAAGCAGCCTTCATGGCTGAGGCCATGAAGAGGGAGAGGCGCAGAGTGACCAGGCAGTCGTGTGTCTTTGCTGAGTACCCACTGTGTGCCAGGCACGGGGGTGCACTGGTGAACAGGACAGACAGGCAGGCCTCTTGGTGCTTAGAATTTAGAGGAGGCCGGGGCCTGGGTATCCCAGAAAGGGAGCCTTTGAGGACTGAGGAAAGCTCAGGCGCCAGAGAGTGGGGTGCAGGGAGGGTTTAGGGAAGCAGATAGGGGCTAGATTTCAGGAGGCCACCTAAGAGTTTGGACTTGATCCTGTGGGCCGAGTCAGGGGCTGTTGAATGTTAAGCCAAGTGGGATCACATCAGTACTTAGGAAGCTCTCCCTGCATGGGCCGGACACGGACACGGTGGCTCATGCCTATAATCCCAGCACTTTGGGAAGCTGAGGTGGGCGGGTCACGAGGTCAGGAGATTAAGACCATCTGACCAACATAGTGAAACTCCGTCTCTATTTTTAGTAGCTGGGCGTGGTGAGGTGCCTGTAATCCCAGCTACTCAGGAGGCTGAGGCAGGAGAATCCTTTTAACAAGGGAGTTGGAGGTTGCAGTGAGCCGAGATAATGCCATAGCACTCCAGCCTGGCGATACAGTGAGGCTCCGTCTCAAAAAAAAAAAAAAAAAAAAAATAGCTCCCTGCATGTATCAGAGAAACTTTCATGTATGCCTGGGGAGATGTGTACACAGCTTGTCTCACTAATTGTGGAAAAGTCAAACCAGTTGAAAATAGTGAACTGGAGTTTTGTACCTCTGCCTGGATAAATCTCAGAAATGTAATGTTGAGCTTTTAAAAAAGTTAGTTGCAACAGGATAATACCAGCCCATCACTGTTTGTATAAAGCTTGAAAACATATGTATGATTTGTGAAAATAAAAAGCATGTATGGGAAGCGGAGTTTGGTAGCCCATCCCTGTAGTCAGTCCCAGCTGCTTGGGAGGTGGAGGCAGGAGGATCACTTGAGTCTAGCCTGGGCTACATAGTGAGACTCCATGTCTTAAGTAGATAGGTAAGTAGGTAGGTAAATAGATATGATCGATTAGATAGACAGACAGATAGATAGATACATAGATAGCATGTATAGGAATTATATACACCAGTGGTTTTCAGACTTTAGCATGCATCCAAATCACCTAAAGGATTTATTAAAACACAGATTTTCATTTCTGATTTAGTAGGTTTGGAGTGTGGACCCAAGAATTTGCATTTCTCCCAGGTTCCTGGACGATGATGCCACAGGTCTGGCGACCACAGTTTGAGAATCTCTGATGTCCACCGACTTGAAGATAGAGATCACTTCTTGGGAGGGGGTAGAATTGGATGGGGAGGAGTCCAGAGGGGCTTCGACTCTATTTTTAATATTTAATTTCTTTAAAAAAAGATCTGAAAAAATGATGCAATGTAACTTGACAAAGCTGGATGAATGCTTATGATTTTTTTAAATTTTTCTCTGTGTGTGAAACAGAAAAACGATACTGTTTGCTGTGTAATCGTGAGAATGGGCTGCAAGAGAGGAAAAACTGGGTGTCTGCTTGGGAATCTCTTGCGGAAACCCAGGTGAGAGGTGCTGCTGGCTCACGGAGGGGAGTGGAGGGTAAGGGCAACAAGGAAGGAGAGATGCTAGCAGCTGTGAGAGAGGTTTTGGTGGGAGCATTGAATGCATGTGGTAATTGGTTGGTTTGGAGGTTAGGGGAGGGAGGAATCAAGTCACACACGCCTGGTCTGTAACTTGAGCGGGTGGTTGGGTCATGAGCCCATCACAGAGGGAACCCTGGGGGAGGGTCATGTAGGGACGGGGGAGTTCTGCAGTGGACATCCCATACCTTGATAGGCCAGTGAGCGAAGCGTAGGAGAGATCTAGTCTGCAGTGCAGACTTAGAAAGCATCAGAGTTCAGATGGCTGCTAGTGTCCCAGGTATGGGTGAGGTTACCTGGGCCTTTGGCAGACCTGGAGGAATGCCTTCACCTAAGGCAGGGCTTGGCCAACCACAGCTTCTGCTTGTTTTTGCATAGCCTGAGAGCTGGGAATGCTTTTATCTTTTTAAATGTTAAGGGGAGACTTCAACGAAAATATAATTCACAAGCCATAACATTTGACATTTTAAAGTGTACAATTCAGTGATATTTAGTATATTCACAAGCTTGTACAACCATCATCACTGTCTAATTTGAGAGCATTTTAGCTAAAAAGAGACCCGATCCCCATCAGCAGCTATTCCACCCCCCGCCCCCCCAGCCTCTGGGAGCCACAAATCTACGTTCTGTGTCTGAATTTGCTGTTTCTGGACATTTCATGTAAATGGAATCATATGGTATGTGGCCTTTTTGTCAGGCTTATTTCACTGAGCATGATGTTTCCAAAGTTCACCCATGTTGCAGCATGAATTAGTGCTTTATTTTTTATGGCTGAATAATACTCCATTTATGAACGTACCACATTTTGTGTATCCATTCATCTGCCAGTGGACACTTGGCTTGTTCCCACTGTTTGGCTGTTGTGGATAATGCTTCCGTGAACATTCATGTATAAGTGTGTGTGTGAGTGTGCATGTTTTCATGGGTACACACCGGGCAGTGGAGTTACTGGGTCATGTGGTGACTGTGCTTAACCTTTTGAGGAGCGGCCAGACTGCTTTCCACAGTGGCTGCATTTTACTTTCTCACCAGTGATTTTTGAGGATTCCAGTTTTTCCCCATCCCCATACACTTGTGTTTTTACTGATTTTTGTATTATAGCCATCCTCATGGGTGTAAAATGCCATCTTGTCACACTTCTGATCTGCGTTTACCTTGATGATTGGTGAAGCTGAGCATCTTTCATGTGCCTGTTGGCCATCAGTGTATCTTCTTTGGAGAAATGTCTATTCAAGTCCTTTGCCCATTTTAAAAATTTTATTTATTTATTTTTTTGAGACAAGGTCTCACTGTCACCCAGGCTGGAGTGCTGTGGCACGATCACAGCTCACTGCAGCCTTGGTCTCCTGGACTCAAATGATCCTCCCACCTCAGCCTCCTGAGTAGTTGGGCCTACAGGCGCATGCCAACATGCCTGGCTAATTTTTAAATTTAGATTTTGTAGACAGCAGGTCTTACTATGTTGCCCTGGCTGGTCTGGAACTCCTAGGATCAAGTGATCCTCCCGCCTCGGCCTCCCCAAAGTGCTGGGATTACAAGTGTGAGCCACCAATGCCTGACCCTTTGCCCATTTTTTAAATTGAGTTGTTTTTTGAATCTTTTGAGTTGTTCATCAGACATCCACATGGAGATGTCAAGGAAGCAAGCCTTGAGTTCTGAGGAGAGGCTGGGAATGGAGTTTTACTTTTGGAAGTCATCAGCAGGCAGTGATGAAAAGTCCTGAGTCTGGGTGAGCTCTCCCAGGGAGTGTGGCAGAGGCCTGAGCTCTGAGCTCTGGGCGACCCCACTAAGTGGACTCAGAGATGAGGAGCTGCCAGTGTAGTTTCCTGGAAACCAATTATAAAAGGCGTTTAAGGAGGGAGTTATCAATCACGGTAATGTTATTGATAGGTCAAGGAAGACTGGGGCTGTGCTTTGACTGTTGTGTTTAGTTATGTGGAGGTCACCTGTGCTGACTGTGATATGGTCAGTTTGGGTGAAGTGGCAGTGAGTTGGAGAGAATGAGAGGACAGAGCTGGGGGTGGGGTTTGCCTGAGCTGGGCTCAGGGCCAGTTTCATGGTAACAGACAGTTTGTAGTAATAGGAGAGTGCAGGAACCTGGGGTGGGGCTTGGGAACTGGTGGAAATGCTCTCTGATTGCTTTTGTTTTTCTGGTAAAATAGGATGATCTCGTTAGATGATCAGCTGAGAGTGAAGGTGGGGGAAGAGGTGGTACATGTTTGGAGAAGGAGAGTGTGAGCTTCCAGCTAGCCTAAGGCCACTTGGGACACATCTGTCATGTTTTTTGACTCACTGCGATAACCAAGGCTGCACACTGGCAGGACTTGCATATCTCCATCAGAGGGACAGAGAATCATCTGAGAGGGCGTGGGGCAGGAGTCCTTCGGGGCCTCTCTGACCTGGCCCGGTGCAGAGAGCTCGGGATGGAAGTGGCATGAGTGCTAATAGGGGGTCAGAGGTACAGAGGATGTGGGAATGGGTGGTGGAGTGGGGGGAGACTGGAGCTTTGCCATTGGGGGCCTGGGCTGAGCAGGACTTGGAGCATGTGTGATGAGCCTTATGGCAGGGGAGGCTCATGGCCCAGTGTGTGCTTAGGGAAGTGGGCAGCAGAGCAGGTGAGGGACCCACGGGTATGTCACAGGGGTAGGGTGTTGAGGAAGTTCCAAAGCAAGCTAATAGGGGTTATGGCTGGAGAGAGGTCCAGTGTGGGCTTTTGGGGGATAGGGTGGTAGAGGTACCAGGATGTGTGCTAATAGGCTTCTGAAGCCTCGTGTGTGGTGATGAGGGTGTGTGTGATGTTAGCGTTGTGTGTGTGTCTGTGGGGGCCTGCAGGGTAGGAGAGAATGGGGTGCTTATGGAGGGGAGGTGGTTGAAGGATTCTAGTGCTGTGTGTGCACTTGTGGGGGTCGTCTGTGGTGGGTGTGTGCATGTGCATGTCTGGGTAGTTGGAGCCCAGTGCATGCTAATGGAGCAGAGCTGGAGGGACCTCATGGAGGGATCTGATGGAGGGAGGATGGTGGGAGACCTCGGCCTGTGCTGGCGGGGATGAGGATTGTGAATCTCTGTGGGGCAGGGGGTGGTGGTATAGGAAGGGTCTTGGTACCGTCAGAGGCCCAGTGCACTGAGGGTCAAGGAGGTGTGAGGTGTACTTGTGTCCCTGAGCATGAGGATACTCTAGGAAAGGGCAGCCAGATGATTTATGGTGTCCTAGAGGCAGCTACTGTGGGTTTAGAGCCATAGAGGCACTGAAACGTGTGCCATTGCTGGGAGAGTCAGCAGTGTGAGGTCTGGAGTACGCTCAGGAGCGCCAGAACAGTGTGAGCTTGTGTGCTTGCGTCTGTGGGGTACTGGAATGTGTTGAGGTTCCAGGGAATACTGATGCAGGGGGTGAGTAGAGCCGTGGAGGGGATAAAAATAAATTTAAAAGGCCAGGTGCAGTGGTTCATGTCTGTAATCCCAGCAGTTTGGGAGACTGATGCAGGAGGATTGCTTGAGGCCAGGAGTTCAAGGCCAGCCTGGGCAACATCATGAGACCCAGTCTCTACAAAAAAAAAACAATATAAAAATTAGCTGGATGTGGTGATGCACACCTGTAGTCCCAGCTACTCAGGAGGCAGAGGTGAGAGGATTGCTTGAGTTTGAGGCTGCATTGAGCTATGATTGCACCACTGCATTCCAGCCTGAGTGACATAGTCAGACCCTATCTCTAAAAGAAAAAAAAAAAGGAAGAAAATCGTAGAATTTTGGAGATGAGTGAAGTTTAGGCAAATTTAAATGAAGTGGTATTTTGATGGGCTCAAAGCCATGTAGAACTGAGTGTAAAGGGGCCAAGATCTAGTCTGGACTGCAAAGTGGTCCCCTTTCCTTAGAAACTACCAGATTAACATAGATGTACAGGATTATCTCCAGAAACTCCTTATCTGAAGCTCTGCCCTGTTCGGAAACTGAGGTTGCTTCTCTGTGTCAGGGTGACTTTGATCCTCCAGGAAAGAGTGGGATGTTTTATTCCAATTGATAAGTACTTCAAACTGCAAAATTTCTGGTAGTCTGTGATTGTAGAGAACATAATTTCTAAATAGTAAAAAAGGAGTCTTCATCCAAAGGGGGTTTTTGACACTTTATGGCTGCAGTGTGTTCTTAGTGTGTTCTTAGGAGAAATGCTGTTTTCTGTTAATGGTTTCATTGGTGTCTTGTCCCAGCTCTGGAAATGGGAGTGGATTTTGTTTTCTCAAGGAGGAGGTAGTATCCTGGATTTTTCATGGCTGGCTCCTCTCAGGCCTCTTGTCGCAGTGCGAAGGTCACCTCCTCAGAGAGGTCTCCTGGGATGCTTCCTCCAGGGAGTTCCTACACAGTTACTCTCTATCCTTGAACCCCCATCACAGGATGATGATAGACCTATTTGTTTACTTGTTTATTGTCTGTCTTCCCCACTAGACTTTCCCCTAAGCTCCAGCAGGATAGGAACCTTGCTGGTGTAATTCACTGTGTGTGTGTCTCCAGCACCCACTGCAGGGCTGAGCACATAGAAGCTGCTCAGGACGTGTTACGGGAATGAGCAACCACAAGTCAGTGATGGAGGCGAAGAGAGCAGACTGGTACAGAGAGACTCTGATGGGCTTCCCCATGGCGCTGCTCTGTCCTGGGACTTGAGAACTTGAGGAAACCCGGACTTGAAGCAGGAGGAGGGCCCTGGGAAAGTTGGACCGTTTGGACTATGGCGATTTGTCTGGGTACATAGCTGCAGTTTCTGTTTACATACTTCCTGTTTTGTACTTTGCAGCAGGGTGTTTCCAGACCAGTCCCTGGGCGCCAACTAGAGTATGGACTGACCAGGTACCTGGATGGAGACCTGAGCTGGAGAAGGAGATGCGCTTGGTAGGTAACCCTGCATGTCGCAGCTGTCTCTGACTCAGTTCTGTCTCAGTGTTTCAGCATTCCAGTGCTGTTCAGCTGGCTCCCAATGGCATGGCCACATCCACTGTTAAACTCTCCATATGCTTCCATTCTGCTCCATTCTGCTTCTGTAAATCACCTCTGCCACCCATAGTCCTACTTCAGGCCTCTCTGCACCCAGGCCCCTCCACCATGGCCTTGCACAGCTCCAGCGGTAGAGCCCACATGTTATCAGTGGTTCCTCATCACTGGTGTGACTTCTGAGTGGTCATCTCTCCAATCTCATCACTGTTATTCTAGCTCGTGTACTTGTCAGCTCCTGTCCGTAGTCATAACCAGGGCTTCTTAACTGGTCTCCCCAGCCTCAGTCTCTTTCACCCCAAATCTACCTTTCATAACTGCTGAAGAGTAGCTTTTATTTCTTAAAACTGTTCAGGGGATTCTGAGTACCTCCCAGGGAACAGGACAGCTGCTTAGCTGGGTTCGAGAGAGGCCGTCAGCCTCCCAGCCTCCACCTGCTACCCTAAGCAGCCTCCTTCTGCTGTCCTTTGGTACCCTCTGTCCCCATCCCACCAGTTGACTAATACATTTTGCTTTCATTTTACTGAATATTCATGAGCATCTATTCAATGCCTGCTACTGTGAGTCGTACAGAGTTAGACACAAACACCTCCCACCTAACCTAATCTAGAGGAACCCGTATTTTAGTTTGTAATAAAAAGTAATGATTATGGGAACAGCTAACATTGGGCATTTGGGATAAGCCTGGTGTTCGATACCTGCTTTAATCCCCACGGTAACGCTGTAACTTACAGGACCCTTGAGTAGAAGAGGAATCTGGACGCATTCTTGGAAATGAAAGCTGACTGTCATGACTTCTTGTTTCATTGTGTATTTTAGGAAATTGCAGAGGCCGTCAACATGGAAAAGCAGCCCCAGAACAAGAGGAGAGGCCTCGCTCCCCGAGAGGTGCCACCAGCCGTTGGGCTGCTGCTGATCATGGCCCTGATGAATACTCTGCTCTACCTCTGCCTCGACCACTTCTTCATTGCTCCTCGACAATCCATTGTGGACCCCAGACACTGTCCCTATGGTCACTTCAGGATAGGACAGATGAAAAACTGCTCACCTTGGCTGTCCTGTGAGGAGCTGAGAACAGAAGTGAGACAGCTAAAGCGTGTCGGGGAAGGAGCCGTGAAGAGAGTGAGTCCGGGTTCATTTCTGATTGCTGTCATCATGTTATTTTGCTTAACACAGTGTCCTCCAGCTCCATCCATGCTGGCACGAATTGCGGAATTTCATCCTTTGTTACTGCTAAAGTGTATTCCATTGTGTATGTGCACCGCATTTGCTTTGGTTGATTCTGTACTTTGGCAACTGTGAATAGTGTACAGTAGGCATAGGTTTCAGCCCTTCGGGAAGCAGTGTAGCATACAGTGTTAGGAACCCTGCTGGCTCTACGTTTTTATTGTTAAGCTCAATAATCTTATATCTGGCACTTTATTATTATTATTTTTTTTATTTTTGAGAGTCTCACTCTGTCACCCAGGCTGGAGTGCCGTGGCGCCATCTCAGCTCACTGCAACCTCCACCTCCTGGGTTCAAGCGATTCTCGTGACTCAGCCTCCCGAGTAGCTGGGACTATGGGTGTATGCCACCATGCCTGGCTAATTTTTTTATTTTTAGTAGAGATGGGGTTTCATCATGTTGGCCAGGCTGGTCTTGTACTCCTGACCTTAAGTGATCTGCCTGCCTCGGCCTCCAATTGGACTTTATAATCCAAGGCAGGAAAAAAGGCAAATGCATAGAAAACTAGAAACAATACTTGTAGAATAGTTCATTAAATGATGGTCCATCCACTTGACAGAATATTCTGCAGCTGTTGTGTAGTTAGGAACCTCAAGAGGCAACAAGAAGAAAACCTTATGATGATAAGTGAAGAAAAAAATATACAAAATTGTGTAATTGACTTTTCAACTGTGAAATTACGTATATATGTAGATAAATAAAAAAATGGCCAGGCGCGGTGGCTCATACATGTAATCCCCGCACTTTGGGAGGCGGAGGTGGGCGGATCACTTGAGCACAGGAGTTCCAGACCAGCCTGGGCAACATGGCAAAACCTTGTTTCTACAAAAATAAAAAAATTAGCCTGGCACAGTGCCGTGCGCTACTTGGGAAGCTGAAGTGGGAGAATCTCTTGAGCCCGAGGAGTTTGAGGCTACAGTGAGCCATGATCTTGCCACTGCATTCCAGCCTGGGTGACAGAGCAAGACCCTGTCTCCAAAGGAAAAAAAGAAAAATTGAAAATGATAGAAATTGTGGTAGGGTGAAAGGGGGATTATGGACAATTTCTTTTCCTGTTTTTCAAACTCTATGATGGTATTACACTGATTTGTAACAATTTATTTTTAATTGGCACATAATAATTATCCATATTTATGGGGTACATAATGATGTTTCCATACCTACTTACAATGTGTAGTGATTGGATCAGGGCATATCTGCCATCTCAAACATGTATCACTTCTTTTGGTTGGGAACATTCAATATCTTCTTTTCTGGCTATTTGAAAGTGTATTGTTAATTATAGTCATCCTATGGTGCTATGAAACACTATAACTTGCTTCTCCTATCTAGCTGTAATTTTGTATCCTTTAACAAATTTCTCCCTATCCTTACCTTTGCTCTACCTTTCCCAGCCTCTAGAAACCTGTTCTGCTTTTTACTTCTTTGAGTAAGCTTTTTAAAACTTCTGCATATGCTTGTTGCCCAGGCTGGAGTGCAATGACGCAATCTGGACTCACTGCAACCTCTACTTCTGGGTTCAAGCAGATCTCCTGCCTCAGCCTCCTGAGTAGCTGGAGTTATAGGCATGTGCCACCATGCCTGGCTAATTTTGTATTTTTAGTAGAAACAGGGTTTCTCCATGTTGGCCAGGTTGGTCTTGAACTCCTGACCTTGTGATCTGCCCACCTTGGCCTCCCAAAGTGCTGGGATTATAGGCGTGAGCCACTTCGCCTGGCTGCACATATCTCTTTGATATATTGATTTCCTTTCCTTTGGGTATGTACCCAGTAGTGAAATTGCTGGATCATATGGTAGTTCTGTTTATAATTTTTTGAGGAACCTCCATGCTGTTTTCCATATGGCTGTCCTAATTTACATTCCCACCAGCAGTGTATAAGAGTTTCCGTTTCCCTGCATCCTCACCAGCATTTGTTATTTTTTGTCTTTCTGATAATGGCCATCCTAACTGGGGTGAGATGGTATCTCATTGTGGTTTTGGTTTGCATTTTCCTGATGATTAGTAACATTGATCATTTTTTCAGCAATTTATTGGCCATTTGTATGTCTTGTTTTGAGAATGTCTGTTTAAATCATTTGCCATTTTTTGATCATACTGTTATTTTTTTCTGTTGAGATGTTTGAGTTCCTTGGATATTGATCCCTTGTCAGATGAATAGCTTACAAATATTTTCTCCCATTCTGTAGTTTGTCTCTTAACTCTATTTGTTTCCTTTGCTGGGAAGGTTTTTGGTTTGTTATAATCCCAGTAGTTTATTTTTGCATTTTTTTTTTTTAACTGAGTCTTGCTCTGTCACCCAGGCTGGAGTGCAGTGGCACGATCTTGACTGACTGCAACCTCCACCTCCCAGGTTCAAGAGATTCTTGTGCCTCAGCCTCCTGAGTAGCTGGGATTACAGGCGCCTGCCACCATGCCTGTATTTTTAGTAAAGATGGAGTTTCATCATGTTGGTCAGGCTGGTGTTAAACTCTTGACTTTAGGTGATCTGCCCTCCTCGGCCTCCTGAAATGCTGGGGTTACAGGCTTGAGCCACTGGGCCCGGCCCTCAGTTATAATTTTACAAAGGCGGTTTCAATCCCTCCCTTTGGGGTTTCATAGCATCTTACTCTTAAGGTGTGCGCTGTGAAGATGGGAAGAGGCCATCGATCGCTCTGGCTTCTTCATGCTGACAGGAGGCATAGTTGGGGTCGGAGTTGACCGTAAGGTGAGAGGAGTAGAACTGCTTTGCAGCTGTCTGAGTATATTCATGCAGGCCGGGCTGTGGTTCCAACACTTTCATGACAAAGGCAGTAGTATCTTTATAGTTTTAGTAGAGCATTTGAACAGACAGTCTACTATAAGGTAAGTAACAAGTTTTAGGATAAGGAGTGCAATTTCCAGTTTTAAAAGTAAAGATTTGAAAGCATTAGTTTGGGGACTTCATAAAGCGCGTCAAGAATAATTTTTTTTTTTTGAGATGGAGCCTTACTCTGTCGCCCAGGCTGGAGTGCAATGGTGTGATCTCGGCTCACTGCAACCTCTGCCTCCCGGGTTCAAGCAGTTTTCCTGCCTCAGCCTCCTGAGTAGCTGGGATTACAGGCGTGTGCCACCACACCTGGCTAATTTTTGTGTTTTTAGTAGAGATGGGGTTTCACCATGTTGGTCTGGCTGGTCTTGAACTCTTGACCTCATGATCTGCCCGCCTTGGTCTCCCAAAGTGCTGGGATTACAAGCATGAACTATTGCACGTGGCAAGAATACCTTTTTTTTTTTTTTGGTAGAGAGGGAGTCTTGCTCTGTCACCCAGGCTGGATTGCAGTGGTGTGATTGTAGCTCACTGCAACCTCTGCCTCCCGGGTTCAAGCAATTCTCCTGCCTCAGCCTCCTGAGTAGCTGGGACTACAGGCGCACGTCGCCATGCTCAGCTGATTTGTTTTGTATTTTAGTAAAGATGGGGTTTCACCGTGTTGCCGAGGCTGGTCTTGAACTCCTGAGCTCAGGCTGTCCGCCTGCCTTGGCCTCTCAAAGTGCCAGGATTACAGGCATGAGCCTCCGCACCTGGCTAGAATAATTATTTTTTACATTGGCTTTTTAAATTGGCTTTGATGGAACTCTGTTCCATAAGGAATCTCAGATAAGACTTTTTAAAGCTGAGTCTAGCCATAGGTTTGTACTTTCAAATACTTACGAGTTGGGTAAGTTCCTCTCGTCTTGATGTCCCTAGATAACTTGGGGCTCCTGGGCCTGTCAGAAAGTGACATTCTATACTTACCATGGGTCAGGAACCCTGTACAGGGACTGCATAGACAAAGTATGAGGCCAGTTTTCCCAAGGGCTTTTACTGGCTTTACAAGTCAAGTTTGATTCCGTAAAGGAAAGCATGCCATTCCAGTCAAACCCTTGGTAAAATAACCAGTTTTTTCAGTTGTGTCCTGTTACAAAGGAAAACAGATTCTTATTGTATTTATGCAAATAGCTATATTGCCATAAATTAAGAATACTCACAAATAGTTTTTAAATTCTGGAGAAATCAGGTAGAAACAAATATGCTCCAAATTTTATTCACAGGAGTGTACTTAGTTGCTACAAGCTGTAAATAGCTTAAAAGAAGTTAATCAGCAGCATTTTAAACAAAAAGGTTACTTCAGACTTTTATTAGTTTAGTCCATGCATTTAACTTCTGTTTGATATTTATGAACACTTCAGCTTTCCATGAGAGTTCTAAAAGTTTTTTTCCTTTATTCTAATGTCATAATCTCCAAAGTTATCAGTAACTTGCATTCAAGAGCACATACCAGAGTTTTAACAGCTGATCATAAAACCATCTTCTATAGAGGACCAAATTAAAACAGCAGTTGTCTGTGGATGAGAAAAACATTTTAGGGGAGCCACCAAGACACAATTGACAAGGAAATTTGTTAACTCTGTGACGCACAATAATTCAACACAACAATTATAATTATTACTGATGACATATACTGAGGCATATCAGAATTATAGGAATTTTATACGATTTTGCAGCATATAACTTTATATCACAAATTTATATTAATATAACCCAAAGAAAATTAAACACCATTTTCTATTTGACAGTGTTTCCTGCATGATTTTAATAAATAAGCTGAATATGTCTTTTGTCCTTTAGGGGACTTAATTTTAAAAAAATTTTAACTTAGAGCTTGATTTTGAAAGGTTTGTTAAATACCAAACTTTTAAAACATTGGATATTACAAAATGGAGTCTTAGGTTACCATAAGTCATTCATTTAGCCAAAGTAACTCAAAAACTTTACAAACGAAAAGCCATTATTCTGATAGAGAGGAGACTCAGCTTTCCAAACAAGACCCAATGAAGACAGCATGATGCTGATTGCCTCCTCTCTCTCCCCTCCCTGTTTTTTCTTTTGTAGTTTACT